GAGTTGGTCCTAAGAACTCTAATTTAGCATATGGTTTCCCATGTTAACTTCCCTTTCAAAATTCCTTCAGTTTACTATGCATAATACTTATGTTTAGAGAATTCACAGACAGTTCTGCTACCACTCATGGAGAATTTCTGGGCACTTTGCCACTAAAACAGATTCTCTTGATGTTTGTTACTACTATCATGGAGTGAATTTTTGTTTCTATTTTCACACTCGAAGTTTGGAAGCTGTATGGGCTTTGAAATATTTTAGGTGAATGGAATAAATATAAAAAATATAAAAAACAATATCATATATATAGCATAGATTTTATGAGTTGATAGTTAAGTCTAACAGTTATCACTGGTGCAAAACAAAAGCTTAAGAACTTATTAAATACAAATAAGAAGAATATATTTCATGGTTTATTTTAATCCTCAATACAAGAGAACAATAAAATTTGTGTACACAACTGCTTGTAGGATTAGGTCTTCTAATTGAAGTAGTAGATCTTGAATAGATTTTAATATCAGATCAATGAACTGTCCAAGAGGCATGTCCTTTTAATGGACCATTAAACTTTGTTTTCAAAATATCCCAATTTGGAGAAGATATTACAAACCCCCAAAGAGAATTTGATATTCAGAGCTATTAGTTTTTTCTATGGTACGTTTTGAGAAAGCATCTGGTTCTGTGAATTGTTTCATTCTCAGGCAAGCCAAAGAAAGATACAGGAAGCAAGTCTTTAATACTGCGTTGGCCAATAGAGTAGATGCTTAACTTAATCAAAAACCCATAAATCCCATACAGAGAGACTTTTATGCTGAATATCAAATAACATTTTCTGGCTGATCAGTTTGTTATACACTGCAATTATAAGAACAGTAGCAGGCTATATTGCCCAAAACAAAAATAAAATAAATAAAACCTTTTGTTCTGTCTGTGTTGTTTTTGCTTATATTTCCCAATAGAGAATAATAGAGACCCACTCTCACAAGATAAATGTAATATGTATGGAACTAATATGATGTGCCAACCTGATTTCTCTTTCTCATCTTTGCAGATTATACAAATGAATTTAGTTGCCAGTGTCCTATAGAGCACAAAAATGACCATGTCTACTATTAGCAATGCAATTTGCATGAAAATTAAGCATCTATGTCGAAAGTAGACTATGGACTGAACATGTTTGCCACTCAATGCCTCTTTTGCAGACCACAACACCCAAAAGGAGAGAGAGAACACAGGGGATTGCCCTGCCACAGAGACAGGGGGGATGGGGGGATGGGGGTGGGAGGGATATTATCCATGGTGGTGGAAAATGGGCACTGGTGGAGGGATGGGTATCTGATCATTGTATAATTGAAACCAAAGCACAAAAAATTGTAAATCTACAACTTAAAAAAAATAAAATAAAATAAAGGGAAAAAAAAAGAATCTACTATCTACTGGTTGCCAGTCCTCTGCTGGGTAATATAAATAAAAACAATTTTATTGTGAATAAAAAAAAAGAAAATTAAGCATCTGCTAGAAAAAAACACAGAGAGCAATGGTCTTCTAAGTGAATTATCACATTATTTTCCAATGATTACAATAGAGAAACCATGGCTAAGCTCATTCACATGTAAAACTATTAAAAGACCATTAAGTAGAAGTGAAAACAAGGATTGTGTAAACTGAACAAATATCACAGCTCCTATCAGACATTTAGAACTAGAGGAAACAAACAAAGTATGAAATTACCAAATTCCCAAGTCAAGCCGGAAGTCATATTTACAAAATCAAAAGTAACTTTCATGGGGCCAGAGACATGGTATAGCAGGTAGAGCACTTGCTTTGCATGCTGCCCACACATTTTGATCTTTGGCACTACATGTAGTCCCCTGTGTCAGCCAGAAGTGATTTGTGAACACAGAGCCAGTGACCAGATCCTTTGAAAAACATCTAGTTATTATTATATATTTTATATTATTTTATATTTTACATAATTTATTTTACCATTTTATATCATTGAACTCTTTTTTTCCTTTGGGTGGGGGCAGGTTGGGCCCCACCTGACTGTGTTCAGGGCTTTCTCCTGGTTCTGTGCTCAGCGATCACTCATGGCAGTGCTTGGGGGATCAGAGTCAGAGATCGAACCTTGGCCAGCAAAGCAAGTATGTCACCACGAAGCATCACTTCAGCCTCCTGCATATCACTGAACTCTTACTACCAATCTAGAGGAAATTTCTATAACTTTAATAAAAACAAGATACAAATTTAATAGCAAAAATAATATTACTTTACCTCAAAGACTTCAGATAATAAATTAGAGATATCTTATAGATTATATTGCCACTCAATGTCTCTTTTGCAAACCACAGCACTCAAAAGGAGAGAGATAACAAAAGGGAATGCCCTGCCACAGAGGTAGGGTGGGATGAGGGGATGGGGGGGTGGGAGGGATACTGGGACTGGTGGTGGTGGAGAATGGACACTGGTGGAGGGATGGGTATTTGATCATTGTATAACTGAAACCCAAGCACAAAAATTTGTAAGTCTACAACTGTACCTCATGGTATTTCACTAATAAAATTTTAAGAAAAAAAAGGAAAAAAAATTAGGAGTTTTGATCTGTGCCACCACATATGGCACCCTTGAGCACTAACACTGATCCCTGAGAAGAGCCATAAGTGAGCCCTGAGTGTACGTGTGGACCCCGACATACACACAGACACAAAATTTGATAAAGGGGAGCTAACCATCAGCACTCCAAACTAAGGGGCCATTATGGTAATACTTGTCTAGGTGGTTCTGGGCCTGATCATTAGGTGCCCCACGGTGCTGCAAGACCTAATGTACTGATAGCCACCAGAGTTACACCTGGTGGTTCTTAGGGGAATGTTCCATGCTAGGGATTAAACACAGGGCCCCAAGCATATAAAGCAAGCATTCCACCCTACTGTGCCCTTTACCAGCCCAATATAGAATATACTTTTTTGATTATTACTTTTTCCTCAGTTAATTAACTAAAATTTAGAATAATGTATAATTTGTTGTTTAATTTGTTTATATCCCCACGAAAAAATAAATACAAAAAGGATAGCATAACGTATTGATTTTAAGGGATATTGAAGTTTGAGTATTAAAAATGAGATTCTACCATGGTTGAAATTTGTATGATATATTGGTTGAAATAATTATCATATTAAGCTATAGAGAACAACTTCAATTGTCATATTGTAACCTATTGGAATAAAGTGTATATTATTTGAAAAATTATAGTATTGCTTTAAACACTTGGAAAATAAAAGTTGAAAATCTTTTTAAAGTTTTTTTTATTGGAAAAGGAAAGGATTTAGGAATTTATTGAGGTCTGAAAATCAAAATAGGATACTTTTGTTTTTCTTTACCATTTATTCTGTCAGTTATTTCGATACATACCAGAAAAAGGAATTTATGTGTTGTTTTGAAGAATTTTATGGGATATAAATGGTCTAAATGGTACAGATAATATCACCTTCTCTCTCATATATATCACCTTCTCTCTCATATATATTTTGAGTTACTATACACTGTATTAATGTAGCTAAGGGGATTAAATTTGGAATAAAATTTGTGAACATATAGAACTGGTGAGAACTGAGTGATAAAGAGAATAAATTATATTTATAACTAGAGGACTAGAAAATATGAACTGGTTCCTGACTCTTGAAGAATATTGTTAATTAATGTAAAAATTTAAATAAAGCTTTTTATGTAAATGCATAATTGCTTCACTTTGAAGACAAAAGATTGAGCAAAATATATTCATATAAATGCTGAAAACTTGTTTAATTTTCCATGTTTATGTTAAATGAGACTTTTGCTTTCTCTTTGGTTCTTATTTAATAACAAACATTCCTCTATGATTTGCAAATAAAGAATCATATATTCTTAATTTTCTTATCAAAATATTAATTTTAAATTATGTGCACTCTTGAACAAAGAAATTTAGTGGAAGCCTCATAGAAGTTTTTATTATTATATTTTTAATTTAACTTTAATTTAAACACAGTGACTTACAAAGTTGTTTATAACGTTTCAGAAATTCCCACATCCAGTCTTACAACACCATGACTCACCAATGACCCCACACTCCCTTCCACAACCCAATCTAAATACCTGAGAGAGTTTTTCATTCAATTATTGTTGTTTGGGTCTCATACTTTCAGTGGTGTTGTTTTCGGTATAGGCTAGTACATTGCCTCTGCACAACAGAGTAGCTCAAGGACCCTATCCATTGCCCCTATATAAATTCCATACTTTCTTCTCTTTTTGCTTTTCCTCTTTATTTATCTTCTTCCTTGGCATTTTTGTTTCTGTAATCTAGAAACTTCTCATCTTGATACTGTCTTTTCCCTTGACACGCTATTTTATGCAGCACAGATTGGTGAGAACATTTAATATTTGTTGCTATTATTCTGATTTATTTTACTTAACATGAGATCCTCCAGTTCCATGCAAGTTGCAGCAAATTGCATGATTTCATTATTGCTTGTGACTGCATGGTATTTAGTTACACAAACATACTTTATCACAATTCCACAACATATATCAACATATATTTACTCTTCAGTCATTGGGCACCTGGGTTTTTTCAGTATTTTGCCTATTGTGATAAGTAGGGCAATGAACATAGACATGTATATCTTTTCAAAATAACATTGTTGTCTTTGGGCTAAGTAACCAAATAGTGATATTGATGCATCATATGGAAGCTCTATCTTTAGATATTTTGAGAACTCCCCACATCGTTTTCCATAGAAGTCTTATATAATTAAAGAATATTTAGGAAAATTTAGGGAAATATGATAGTTGTGTATTTGTGAATAAATAAAATGCCATTTTTACTATTTTTTAGCATTTACATGATATTACATGTTTACTGTTGCCAAAATTTGATTGTTACTTAAATATATTTAGTTTGCTGGGTACTATTCAGGTTATTTGGAATCTTGACTAATTTCCTTTTTATTTCTTTTTTCTCTCCCCAGGAAGAATGATATTATGAACCCAATTTGTTAACTTGCTCTTATCAATTTTAAATTTGGGTTGTTTAACACTGAAGCAATCATGGTGAACCTGAGTAAAGCGGTGCATTCGTTCCTGTAAGGCTACTATTATTATTTTTAAAACTATAATATTTTATGATAGATTGTTCAAAATTTTTTAAAAAGCCTATGTTCATTGAGTTACAATCTAGATACATGATTTTCATCAGATAGATATGTTTAGGACTTTCCTATCCAAAAATAATAAAGGAGGAAGGATAATAATTGGGATTCAAATTAAACATATGAACTGTTCATGTATACAAACAAGTAAATTGATAATATTCACATTTGAAAACAATTCAAATGTTTGTGGCTGCTTTCTTGTTAAAACAAGTAAATTGATAATATTCACATTTGAAAACAATTCAAATGTTTGTGGCTGCTTTCTTGGTAATTAAATAAAGTTATTTCCTCTGCTTTCTTTTATGAAAAAAATAACCACGAAAATAAAATGTTTTATAAGATTCTAGGTTTTGTTTTGTTTTATTTTTTTTAACCGAGTAAAACGTTAGGCTTCTAAACCAACTTTCTGATTAATGGGGCATAGATAACAAGATTCAGAGCTCTATAAATTCACATCAGTACAGTTAAAAAGACTTAATTCGCCTTGTTCTAATACAGTCTCCTCTAGGACTCCTATAAAAAGCACACTCAAGAAAAGTTTATAGAATGGTGTAGGCATAGTACATTGGCATTTTGTTACAGCAACATGCACTGCTATATCCAACAATATGTCAGTGTACGCTGTAGTGCTAATGCTATCAAGAATGCATGATTCTAAGACAACTAGATCAGACAACAGGAAAGGAAATCATGAAGGACAGTGATGAAAAAGAGTTAAGTGTGGGAAAATGAAAGGACAAATATTCCTATTGCACATGCCTGTGCAAATTCAGGAAAGAAGTCTTGGTTTCTACCAATAAATAACATTACCTGCCTTAAAAAGCAGAAAACTATTCTGCAAAAAATTAACGAACTCCTCTGCATTGTTTTCATTCAGATAAGAGAAATAAGGAACAATTTATCTCTTCTACATAAAAACTAAAACTTGGTAAATTTAAAATGTAGGAGCCATAGTACAGCGGGTAGGGTGTTCGCCTTGCATGCAGCGGACCCCAGTTTGATTCTCAGCATCCCATATGGTCCCCTGAGCACTGCCAGGAGTAACTCCTGAGTGCAGAGCCAGGAGTAACCCCTGTGCATTGCAGGGTGTGACCCAAAAAGCAAAAAAAAATGTAGTAAGACTTTTAGATTAAAAATTCACTTTTAATCTGCAAGTTTATGTATAATTCTATTTTCATTAAAAATTAGTGATAGTAAATTATTTCATTATCCAGAAATTGTGATTTTGTGTAAATATTTAGTGTACATATTTCATGAACTTAACTAACAATTTAAGCTTTAGGAATAAGACCAAAATTACTACTCCTTTGTAAAAGGACTTATCTTTTCATTAGCATGTAAATATTAGATTTAATTGCAGTATACCCAATTCTTGACTACAGAACTGAGAAAAAAGAATTTCAATAAAGTTCAAAGCGTTGCTCAAAGTAGTACTCATTAATAATTATTTTTTATATTTAATTGAATTGAAACCAGAAAACTGAAGTAAATACTCTCTCTTTCTGGATCATTCCTAACACCATTATTTTATAATTCACACTAGTATATTTAGTTACTACAAGTTTTCTCAGAATTCAGTATTTTTCTAATGAGCTTTTTAATAAAAATTAAAATATCTAACTAATAGAAGTAGGAAAGATGACACTCTGAAGTACATTTAACCCCAAATTCAAAAGTGCTTAAATTATAAAATTTATATTGGACATTGTTTTTCATTATACTCTTGCTTAGGTGCAGTTTTATCCTGCATTTCCCTACCATCTTTAAGAGTAATATGTAGTTTTTACAATTTTTTTAGACAATTTTAGTTTGAACTGCAGAATCCCTTATGATCTTATTATCTAGACATCAGGTAAATTTAATCTTGATTTGGTGATTCACATTCAAATATGCAGCATAATACAGTAAGTATAAGATGTTTGGAAACTATTTATTATAATCATCAGTTAATTTAGAGAACATTTTTAATCAGGCACTGTGATTTACAACACTGTTAATTATTGAGTTTCAGGACTATAATATTTCAACTCTGAACCCACCACTAATGTTAGTGTACCTCCAACAATATCCCAAAGTTCCCTTCTATCCCTATCTTCTGCCCCTCCTCGCTAGAAAACTTTTTTTGTCTCGATTATTATAGTTTGGGACACATGTTTACTAAATGGTTAACTCTTATGACTTTGATGTATACCTCACATTTAAACCACCAAAGGCTGTGTCAGAGCAGGTTTCTTTTTTAAATGGCAGAGAGACATTTTCATTTAAAAAGCCAGAAAATACCCTAGATTTAAAATCATTGTCAGGGTCTAGTTCTCCATAAGTATGTTATTAAAATAAAAACAGGACTCAAATTCTTCACAAATCTTGTAAGACAGGAGTTGGATTATAGTTACCATATATATATATATATATATTATTCTTTTTGGGTCATACCTGGAAATGCACAGAGATTACTCCTGGCTCTGAACTCAGGAATCACTCCTCGTAGTGCTCAGGGCACCACATGGGATGCTGGGAATCGAACCTGGGTGGGCCACGTGCAAGGCAAACGCCCTACCCGCTATGCTATCACTCAAGCCCCTACTGTAAAATATTTAAGTGTAAAAAAAGTAATTGCCAATAATTAATGAGGGTTTATTATGATAATTGTAGTATTTTTTTAACTTTACACATACTATGTAATTTTCAAAGTTTCATATGGTAGTGATCAACTTTATTGATGAGAAAAATGATTTTCTGAGAGGTTAAGAGTTTAAAAAAAAATCACTATAGTCATGTAACCAAGACTGGCCAATACAAAGTGCCACAAACACAGTAACAAAATAAGCAGTCAGACTGGAGAGATAGTACAGCACTTGTTTTTCATGGAGCTGACACAAATTTTAATTCCCAGTACCCCATATGGTCCTCTAACCATGCCAGGTATAATCCCTGAGGATAGAACCAGAAGTAAGCCCTGAGCATGGCCAGGTATGTCCCTAAAACCAATACAAATAAAAAGAAGGAACTCCTATTGACCACTTAAATAAATTAAGCAAAGCCTAGAGCACAATTTGTTCTGTGTATTTAATTCCTTATATTAGTAATTTTTACCCATCAATTCGCTCACACGGCAAAGCCTGGCAAGCTACCCGTGCTGTATTCAATATGCCAAACACAGTAACAAGTGTCACAATGGAGACATTACTGGCCCACTCGAGCAGATTGATGAACAATGGGAGGACAGTGACAGTGACAGTGACCCATTAATTATATAGGTTTTTAACGATCATGGATTATTGTAATTTAAGGTTTTATGTTCCTGAAAGGGAACATAGTAAGCATTTGAAAAGTGTTGATTACTTCTTATTTTTATAAAAATTGCTGTGCATGTCTCCCTTTTCTACATTGCTTAGAATATCTAATAGCCTTAACTAAAAAGAAAGTAAGTTTAAGCTAAATATCCCCCCAAAATATAAACAAATATCTATGATATTTAGTTCTACTCCTTCTGGGATGGAAAAGTAAAATATTTTTATTTTAAGAGAGAAATGGTGAGCATATAAGGAATAAATGAAATTTTATAGCAGAAAAAACTGTGCTTGCTTTGCATGTGTGAGGCCTTATATTCAATTTCTGTCAATGCAGGGAAATAAAAAGTATGGAACAGCAAAAGGCACACACTGCAACTCTGAGAAGAGTTCTATAAACAAATTAGCACATGTTATTTTCGAGCTGGAGTGATAGCACAGCGGGTACGGTGTTTGCCTTGCACGTGGCTGATCCTGCTGACCCAGGTTCGATTCCTCCGCCCCTTTTGGAGAGCTTGACAAGCTACTGAGAGTATCTTGCCCGCAAGGCAAAGCCTGGCAAGCTACCCGTGACATGTTCGATATGCCAAACACAGTAACAAGTGTCACAGTGGATACATTACTGGGCCCGCTCGAGCAAATTGATGAACAACAGGAGGACAGTGACAGTGACAGTGATGTTATTGTCAAAATCCTCTATGTACTTCCAAAGCCTTGCCTGGAGTTTGGATGATAGCAATTTGGATTCTGTAAGCTTTTAAAGAAAACTCCCCTATCACCTTATCACTTTATTGTCAACTGTGTTTCAGTCTATATATTGAAGAAATTATTATTTTAAAGTGTAAGGAACAGATAGTTACTACAAAGTTTTCAAAATGCTATACTTCAGGCTACTTGCAAAAAGTAAAAATTTAAAACGTAGGCTTTCAAGTTATCTGACTACTTATAAGCCTCCATCTCCTTATTCACTTTATGAATATAGATCAGTTCTGATCTCAGGTTGGTGAAACTAAGCCTGACTAACAATAAACTATGAACAATAGTATTATTTGAACAGAAAAAAAGATATACTAAGGTTTTATCAAAGAGAGTAGAAATGATGACAATGATGTTGGTTGGAGGTAAAGCAAATGCTTTGTGTATGTATTTTATTGAGAATAAACAATATAATACATACATATAATATATGCTTTATTTTCTTCTTATTTTTCAGTGTGCACCTAATTGGTCTATTGGTTTGGCAATATCATATTTCTGTCAGTCCAGTTGCAGCTGTAGTAACTGACCTTTTCAATACCTCCGATGGTGGACGCTTCAAATTCCCAGACGGGGTACAAAACTGGCCAGCACTTCCAATTATAGTCATCGTAATATTGACAATTGGTGGCAACATTCTTGTTATTATGGCAGTTAGCATGGAAAGGAAGCTGCACAATGCCACAAACTACTTCCTAATGTCCCTAGCCTTTGCTGATATGCTAGTGGGACTGCTTGTCATGCCAATTTCCCTGCTAGCAATCCTTTATGGTAAGTACAATTTTTATTAATTCTTGCATTTCAGATTGTCATCAGTTTGTATCAAATGTTATGGCAAGCATTCATAAAATTATTATATGATTTGGAAAGAGAAGTGAATAATTATGTAAAGGAAGTCATTGGAGATTTATTTAGCATCGTATTTAGTGATTTCATATTTCCTATAGTGTAAATTGGATTTAGACTAGAAAGAATAATACTGAAAGTGTTTATAGTTTTCGACTCCTAAAAGATCACTAACTATATATAGAAAATAGTAAATTTAAAAAAATTTAAAAGTTACTTATGTTGTTCCAAAAGAGTGAATTACCTTAATAGGCATATAAAAAAGTGACTTCAGAAAATGTATTTTCTTGAGTTTGAAAGCTCAGAGCATAATTATTTTATCTATTCATTTTATCAGTCTACACCTTATCTGATAATTTAATTCTGATTTTCTTTTTTTTCACTAGTAGCTTGGTATAGATGGTATAGATGAAGACTGATTGTATCTTTGAATTTATATGAACATAACTGGAAGTTTGTGGGCTGTTTCTAAGTGTACTAGTTCAAGAGCACTCTTTTCTAACCTTAATAGAGTACTTTTTCCTTTGCTTTTTAAACTAGAAGGCTTTGGGAGGACTTGAAAGGGGTAGAGAGAGAAGAGAATTAATGAGTTTTTACAGATTGACGCATGTCTTATATGGTAATATTTTCCCCTCTTGCTTCCTTTTCCTTTCATTATGTACACCAGTGTACATTTCCCAGCACCAGTGTCCCCAGGTTCCCAGGCTTGAGGGTGGAGTAGGGGAATGATGGGTAGACAAGGTTTTCAGAATTTGCATACTGATTTTCTTTCTTATGATGATTTTACATTTTTCTTAAGCTTTCTACGGCCATTCTTTATCTTTCACATAGCTTTTCCTGAATTGCCTTTCCTCTACAAAACAGCATGTGGTGAGGGCCTAACATATATATTAATAGGATTTGCTGATTCTTTCTCACTGTATTACTGTATCACTGTCATCCTGTTGTTCATTGATTTCCTCGAGCGGGCACCAGTAATGTCTCCTTTGTCCTAGCCCTGAAATTTTAGAAAGTGCCACATTTGAGGCTCTTTCAGGGTCAGGGGAATGAGATCCATCATTGTTAGTGGGTTTTGGCATATCAAATATGCCAGGGGGAGTTTGCCAGACTGCCATGCAGGCAGGATACAGATAATTTTAATGCTTTTTAAATTTGATAGTGGCATTGTGCATTTTTATCTCATGTATGTAAATCTATACCTAATCTATCTATCTATCTATCTATCTATCTATCTATCTATCTATCTATCATCTATCTATCTATCTATCATCTATCTATCTATCTATCTATCTATCTATCTATCTATCTCTTGAAAGTAGCCGGGTATATCTATTTCTTATTCCCAATTCCTTTACTTATTTATTTTTTCTATTCTTGCCTCCTAAGTCTCCTATACATTCTTCATTCCTTCTGGTAATTGCTAATTGGTCTTAAGGTCTCAAAGCCTTTATGTTTTTATTTATTAGTTCATTTGTTTGCTTCCTCTATATACAATGATTTAGTGAGATTATGCAATGTTTTAGCATAGACATTGTGTATAGTTTTATTTGTTGGGATAGTTCATTTCTGTTTGTTTTTTGGACCATACCTAGTGGAGCTGTACCTATATAAAACTGAAGTCGGCAGGCCCCCAAGGTGGCTTACATGAGACGGAGAGGAGGGATGGTCACTTTCTCCTGATCCACCTCTGTCCCTACCCCCTCTCCCCCAGGACTGGATGGGAAGACTAAGACAAATAGTCTGGAAAGTGAGTCTTAGGCCTTACCCCAGGCTTACAGTTTCTTAGTACTTCTTACAGAAAGGGATTGCAGGAGTAGACACTCAGTGAAGTAAAATAGATTTTATTTAGGAGGCTTTTAGGAAGGGGAAGGTGGGAGAGAAAATGAGAAAGAGAGTAACGTTCTCAAGAGAGAACATGGGCTTCTCCAAAGGTGGAAAGAGCACCCCTACACAAATCTTAGCATTAGATAAGAAAATATGAAAGTACCACTTCTCAAGTGGGGCAATGCAGGTGACACGTGCTCAGGGGGCAAGCAGCACATGAGCTCGGGCAGCATATGTGAGCCCATCCTTTGTTCAAGGTGGCTTTTATAGGTTTTTCTCCAACCTGTTCTCATATGGGGCTCCTATTTAGGTAAAAGTCTATTGCTAGGATGGTTGCCATGGGGTTTGAATTAGAAGTGGTCTATGGTCTTCTTTGAAATTACTTTCCTGGACTTTGTTCCTGCTGGAGCTTCTCTTAGAGCGGGATTCAGTCTTCTCTGGGTTTGTTACTGGCACCAGGTCTTATCAGGTCTTGATTACTGTGTTACTTGGTTACTGTGTTACTTGGTTACTGTGTTACTTGGTTACTGTGCCCTAATTCTGTTGGTTTTATTACATCCTAAGAATTCCATTGCCATAAGGGCCATTCCCTGTCTAACTGCTCACATCAAAACTATATGTAGTTTTAGATATATGGATCTAAAGCTACATAAAACTGCATAAAACAAATAGACCATAAGACAAAATATATCTTCTAAAGCACATTGATGAATTGACTCTTTCACCATTTTGTTATTTCCATCCTTGTCTCATACTACATTTCTTCCTTGAAGTCTATTTAAATTTTATGTAAATATGATCATCCTTGTCTTCTTAGGCCACCTTTTACCTATATGCTGTTTTTTTTAAAATTAATTAAAGTACCATGATTTACAAAGGTGTTAATTTTTTAGTGTAAGGAATATAATATTTTGGCATCAATCTCTCCACTAGTGTTAACTTCCCTCTATCAGTGGCTGGCTGCTCCAGTGCTCCATTCACCACTGCCTGCCACCTTGACAAGCACATTTCATAGTTGAGTGGTTTTAGTTTAGATTATATGTTTTCAGTGTTGTTGAGTCTGTGCTTTGAATATATAGCTATACCATTTCCCCATATTCTGAGTAAAACCAAAGCCCCAGTCTATATCACTGTTTTTCAATTGTACATTGAGCCTATGTGTTTTCTCTGGAGATTAAATGTTTCTTTTGTTGTTTTCTGGTCCTCTATGCCATTTGACTAGAGTTCTGGCCATTGACGCTCAGTGAAACTATTAACAGAATACATTTTGTTGCCATTTTCTATTTGTATCTGGGTATTATTACAGTTCTTCTGCTATTTTATACTTTTTCCTATATCAAAGTGGGGTTTCCCTGAAATTTCTTAAGTATGGTTAGAGGGTTGGTTTAGAGGCACTGTACTGATATAGCTGAATTCCTTTAATTATTGTCCAAAGTTCTTTAGGACCAGGGAGAAGAATGAAAGGGTCAGTGCACATGCTTTTCATGCAGTAGGCCCAAGTTTTATTCGTGACACCATAAGGTGCTTCAAACACCACTGGGAGTGACTCTGAACAACGTGAGGGATATAGGCCCTGAGAACCACTGAATGTAGTCTTAAAATAAAAAAGCAAAAGAAAACAAAAATTCCTTATCTTTCAAAGATTAGTGACAAACTAGCTATTAGAGTTTTGTGGGTTTTGTTTATTTGGTTTTAGATCATACCCAGGTGTGCTTAGGGCTTACTCTGTGCTCTGTGCTGAAGGGTCACTCTTGGCAGGACTCTGGGAACAATTTAGGGATCAAACTCTGTCTGCTCAGCTCTGTACAAGGCAAGCAATTTACTTGCTAGACTAGCTCTTCCACCCCAAGATTTCACTTTTTACATAATAATGTTTTGTTGAGAATGTATAAGTTATCTACAAACATGTTTGGTCTATAGTCTACTTTATGTCTGACCCTTTCTTTCTGACTCCTTTCACAAGTGCAAATTTCATTTCAAATTTCTATTTTTAAATAATTTATGTCAGTGTCTAGTGTTAGAATTTATGGGTCATATGGGATTTGTATTTATTTTATTTTTTGAACTTAACTATTTGAAATTAAGATCACAACTATACTAAGAGCAGCACAGAAAATATAAACCATATAAATATATATGCATATATATTATATACTTAAATTTCCATTGAAGTGCCCATTGTTTACAAGTAGATTTATGTGTTGTTGGGGTATAGTGTGATCGCACCACTCCCAACTCCAAATTCTAATATCACTCCACCACTGCCTCATGACAATTTCAGACCATACCACCCACTACTTAAAACTTCAATTATGTAATAAATATAAAGATTTCTTTTCACCAGATGTTGTCTTTTATCTTTTGGTAGTTTTCTCTTTCAAACTTATTTCATTTAGCATGATCTCCAGGTCCATTCATTTTGTAGCAAAAGGCAATGAATGTTTCTTTTCTTAATTTTACAGAGGGCCTCCAAAGCAGTGCTAAGGGGTTCCAGGGTCCACTCCCAGGGGTACTTGTGAAAGCCCAAGGTTCAGTGCTCAGCCCTTGTGTTGTGGTGCTGCTTCAGCCAAATGGAACTGGAGCCTACTGTGACCACCTTAGTATTGTTTAGCTGCTACTAGCAACACACTGATGGTACTCAGGGGTGTACCATGGATATAACAGACAGTGTTTCTGGGGACCATGCCATGCAAGAGATTGTACCAAGCCTAGAACATTCATAACATTTCTTCTTTTCTAATATGTAAGTACAACTTCATTTGCGAATGCATAGCACATCTGATTTATCCACTCTTTATGTAGGAGGGCTTTGTTGTTTGTAATGTTGTCCTGATGTAAAGTGTTTGGAAATGCTCTCTTTTCTTCCATTTTTGAAAAGTTCAAAAAAGTCATCTTTGAAGATTTGGTAAAAGGGGATACTAAAATCAACTGAAGTTGGACATTTGTTTGGGGCAGACTTTTGACTGTATTTTATTTCCTTGTAATTTACCTTCCAGTTTTTCAATTGTATCCTAATTCAGTTGGGAGTGGGTGGTTGCATAACTCTAAAAATTGACCTAGTCATTTATGTTCTAAAATCTAGAGGCAAAAAGTTATTTGTA